TAGGAACATACATATATTTGTTTTCATATTCTTTTTCACAATAAATTACTTACTACAAGATATTGAATATGGTTCCCTGTGCTATACAGTATAAACTTGTTGTTTATTTTATATGTATTAGTATCTGCAAATCTCGAACTCCCAATTTATCCCTTCCCCTGCCCTTCCCCCGACCCTGTAACTATAAATTTGTTTTCTATGTCTGTGAGTCTATTTCTGTTGTGTAAGTTCATTTTTTTTAAAGTTTCACATGTAAGTGATATCATGTGGTATTTTTCTTTCTCTTTCTGGCTTACTTCACTTAGAATAACATTATCCAGTTTTATCCATGTTGTTGCAAATGGCATTATTTTATTTTTTATGGCTGAGTAGTATTCCATTGTATAAATATACCACAACTTCTTTATCTAGTCATCTGTAAATGGACATTTAGGTTGTTTCCATGTCTTGGCTATTGTAAATAGTGCAGAAGCCATTCTTGACTTCTTTCTCTGTTCCCCACTCTCATCCCTTCTGTCACCAACTCTGTCAATTACACCTCCTGAATAAAAATATCTCATATCTATACCTCTCCATTCTACTGCCACCATCTTACTTAGTTTATGCCACTATCAGTCACACATATATTTCTTTGACAGACTCCTCTCTCCAATATGCCCACTTTAATCCATTCCCCATACTACATCCAGAATAATCTTTCCAAAGTGCAAATCTGATAATGCAACTCCCTTGCTTAAAACCCTTCAATGGTCTCTCATACTTCACATGAAGTCCAAAATAGCTTATGTTAAGGCATATTACTTTAGAAAAATAAAATCATGACTCTCATACAAATATACACTTAACATGTGTCAAAGATTTTATTTATCCCTTTATTTAACGAGAGAACCAGTAGTTCGTTACAACCAGTTCAAAATAGAATTCAAAGTACCACACCTACGTAGGTCAATCAGAAATGTTGAAATAATTTACAAATAGATGCAAAACTGGCTTTTCCCATGGGTGCTGGGAAAATGTATGTGCCTCTGTGGATCACAATTCATCTGCAGGTTTATAGACAAGAGATATCTTGCTATCAGTTATCTATAATTTATAAGCTTTAAATGACTCCAAAGGCAAAGAAAGACACGAAGACCCTAGAATCAGATCATCCAGAAGGGTGACTTAAACAGCATACCCATTTGGCTTTTTGGTCCATGCCAAAGCCTTTCTCAACTTTCTCCTGCACTTATCAGGTCTTCTTGATCTGGCACAGGCTCTCCTGTTTCACCTCAGCTCTTACTCTTCTCTTCCCATTCCTCTCCCCAACTCTCCCCTGACCTTCATTTCTCTAACTGTACTAAATTTCTTTCAGATTGGGATTATGCTAGCTGCTATAATAAATGAACCCCAAAACAGTATTGGTTTAAGCCATTAAAGTTTATTTCTGGGTAGGGAGGGTATAGCTCAGTGGTAGAGCAAGTGCTTAGCACTCGCAAGGTCCTGGGTTCAATCCTCAGTACCTCCATTATAAATAAACAAACAAACAAACAAACAAACAAACTGAATCCTCCCTGCCCCAAGGAAAAAAAAATCCTGTTTGTGTTACCATCCAGTGTCACCCTGTGGCTTTCCTCTGTTTGGCAGTCCCATCTTGGGACTCTGCCATGCCCCAGGGCCTCAGAGTTCTCTGCACTCAGACATCGGAGAATGAGGGAAAAGGAGAGTAAAGACGTTGTGGGGGGAACCGCCCCACTCTTATTAAAACCCCTGGCCCAGTTTGACTCAGGTTGTTCCTGCTCACATTCAGTTGGTAATAACTATTCATACAGCCACCTGGACATAAGAGGTGCTGGAGAAGGGATGCTAGGAAATGTAGTCCCTGGCAGGGCCATGACCATTTCTGCTACACAAACATCCCCTACTCTGTCCTCCCTCTCCACTACACTTGTTCCACACTATTGCCTCTGACTTGGCTCAGCCTTTCTCATTCCCAGCCTAGTTTCCATCTACTATCAGCTTAGGTCTCCCCTCCCCTGGGAAACCTATGCTGCAGATTAGATGCTCTTGTTCCATGCTTCCGTAACACCCTTGTGACCCTGTGATAGCAGATATTATCTCTCCCATAATGACCATGATGGCTTCCTATCTTTTCCCCTCCAGACTGTAAAAAACTACAGAGGAGACACAGTATCTTGTTCATTCTTATATCCCCATCCCGTGGTATATCCTCAATAAAAATATGCTAAAGTCAGGTGAATAAGATGAAGCCATTATTTAAAAGAGAAAAGTAGGTTAAACTTTGCTATTTGAAGAGCTTCAAACTTGCCCTAATTTCTTTTATTGTGGTTGTTTCTGCATGACTTTCCCCTAGAAATAACACCACCAAAAAGGATAAGCTGTTTGCTAATAGTATCTTAAAATTATTTTCTCCCCCAAGATGGTGTGCATGTTAGATAAAAATTATCCAGACAAAACTTCCATAATCATATTGTTCTCCCTTAATACACAGTTAGTATGCTCTCTAGTGATTGACATTCAGCCACCATCTCATGGTCCATTTCAGAGTCCTAGCACAGGGAAAGCAGACCTTAAGAGCTGATCTGATGCTATGTTAAATGTAATTTATTTGGAATATGGATTGATTTTGGCTTACACAGATGAACCAGATAGCTTTCCCCCCATCTTATCTTTCTATTCTATCTTACTGTTTTTATTTGATTACATGGTATTTTTTTTTGTCTGCTACATTTTATATCAAGACAGAATAATATAGTGCTGCACATGAGAATCACCTGGAGAGCTTTTTCTATTTCCAATGCCCAGGTCTGACCCGTAACAATTAATTCAGGATGCCTGGGGGTAGTAGCCAGGTAGCAGTGGTTTCTAAAGATCCTCAGGTGATTCTAATGTGCTGCAGAGTTTGGAAACTGGTGTGGTAGGTTTTAATCTCAGTTCTGACACATACTGGCTTTGTAACTTTGGACATGGAATTTAACTTCTTTGTGGAGTTAAATAATATAAAAGTATCTTCCTTATAGTGCTGCTATAAGGATGAAATGATTCAAAATAAACAAGGCCATTGGCTCCGTGCATAGAAGACAGGAAGGGCTATGGAACTTTATGTGTGTGGCAGGGGGATGGTATTATTAGTCTACTTCTGGTAAGTGGAGAAATGTCATAATTCATTCTGAGCTAAATTGCTACCATCCCATTCCACCGTTTAGTGTAGCTTGGCTTAACTATAGCCTCTCAGATAGTTTGGAAGTATTATTCAAACTAGGATAATTGTCCGTGGACAACTCCTTCAATGTTGTAGAAGTAAACAAAGTCTCTGCTCTTCCAGAATTTACATTTTTGTGGAGGAGATAAATGATCAACAAATCAACATATAATTTCAGGCAGTGTTCATTGAGGCCATGCCAATGCAATAAACTTTACACTGAATTCAGTGTGGTCTTCAGCTAAGAATGGCAGAGGGGAAGACCTCTCTGTTCCCTAAAAGGAAATGTACTTTCCAAAGAGTAAAACCATTATATTTTCTTAAAAATGAAAAAGTTGTAAGTCTCATACAAATACAGAATGAAGACATGTCAAAGATTTTATTGACACATTAATTAACGAGGGGGACACAGAGATGTCAGAACCTGTTTAAAGGACAATGTTAAGTGCCCACTTACATTGCTGAAATCAGGAATAGGAAATGAACTTACAAATAGTTGCAAAATGGCTTTTTCCAAGGAGGGGTATTCAATACAAAGTTCAATGGACATGAATATTTCCTCTTTCTATTAGTTATCTACAATTTAGAGCTGGATAGATGTCAACTGAAAAAAATACGTACAACTTGAAAGTTGAGAATTGTGTTTTATTCAGATTTTCTGAAAACTTAAGCCTGGGAGGAGGAGCCAGGATGTGTAGGAGTTTTGCGTGTGCGCGCGCGCGCGCGCACACACACACACACACACACACACACACACACACTAGTCATAACATCAAGAGTACTGTTAATGAAAGAAAACCAGATTGAAGTTATTTGTTTGCTATACACTTTAACTATCTAAAGCCAGTAACCTGTTTTCTCCAACTTGACTCCCCTAAGGGTGCCCAGTTGGGAATAGCTGCAGAGGCTGATCCCACAACATCCTTTGCTTACTGAGATGGCAGGTTGACATTCTTTATCCACAGAGAACCCCACAAAGAAAGATGGAGAGCTCTCGTAGATTAAAAATACCCAGAAAGGTGTACCAGACTATGCTTGTTTTTCACTGCAGACACCCGGGAATCGTTTGGCCCATTTCCATGTGTTTCTTAATTTTTCCCTATTAAAAAAATCGCTCTATCCGTAAACACTCAGAAGCTAAGCAGTTCTGCCACTTTATTTCGCTTTGACTCTCTTCAGTCCTCTTGCTTCTACAGCTGCTTCTGGCAGGGTTGGGTGGTAGTTCTTAGCTTCCACCAAGGAGACGTCAGAGTAAAGGAGATTGGAAACCGAACTCTTTACCCTTTAGGGAGCGCCTAGTTTCCGCCACAGCAGCAGTTGGGAATGCCCGAGAGCGGGACTAGCCCCACCCCCTCCCCACAGGCACCGCCCCTGCCAGCCCATAATCGAGCTACGCGCAAAGGTCACGTGAGCAGCTGCGGTTGCCTGACGTCTCCGAAGCAGTACGTGGCAGACGTCACTCAGAATAGTCTTTTGTGCCCGCTTTCTGCCACCACCATCTCGTCTCTCCCTTTCCCCATTAAATGCCTCTCTTCTTGCCGCTCTTGTCTCGGGGATGGTGAGCTATCCGTCTACCTCCCACCCAAACTATCCTAGGCCTACTAGCCAGTCCTCGCCCTCACGTAAGAGGCGGGGATCCCTTAGCGCTAAGGCGAGTTGCCGTTCTGATTGGGCGTGAGGTCTTGTCAGTTTTCAAGCTTTTCCAATCAAGGGCCGCCTCCACCCAACTTTCCGCTCTTCTATTGACCTATGTGCGGGGAAGGTGGAGGGGGGTGGTAAACCGAGGTCGCGCGAGAACGGCGCTCGTCACTCAGTGCGCAGGTGCGAAGGATCTGGCTGGTCCTTGGGCCGGGGGCGGGCTTGAAGAAGCGTCGTTTGGTTTTGGACACAGTGACAGAGTTCTCTGGGTTCAGCCGCTGGGCAGAAAGCGTTTGTCGGCGGCCTGGCCAGGAACGAGGCCCACGAAATTCTCGATGGTGTCCATGACTTTCAAACGGAGCCGCAGCGACCGGTTCTACAGCACTCGGTGCTGCGGCTGTTGCCATGTCCGCACCGGGACGATCATCCTGGGGACCTGGTACATGGTAAGGGCGGGCGAGGTGGGAGGGTAGGGGCCCTGAGGGGAATGCGCCGGAGCGGGAAGTCGGGGAGCCTGGTCGGAAAGAAAGGAAGTGTCCACCAGGAGGGGGTGGGGCGGGAAGGCGTAGGGGAGCTTCTTTTTAGGGGGCTTTAACTTTGAGGGAGGAGACTGTCCCGGAACCGGAGTGGGGGTGAGTGGGAACGGGGAGATGGTTCCTTGGCAAGAATAAGAGAGAAACGGGGTTGGGAAAGGCAGAGGCCTTGCGGGCTGGGAGAAGGGGGCGGGATGAAGGTGCTTGGTTTTGGTGTCTAGGGGTTCTGGAAATTACCAGGTTTCGGGATTTTGTGTGTTTCCGTAATCTGAAAGAACCGACACCCCCCAGCCCCGGTCCCCTAGTGGTTCGGGGAATTTTTTTACCCCTAACGAAACTATTAGGAGAGGATCTTTGTAGATGTAGCCTAGTTTTAACATTGTATTTTGCGTAAAGGGAAAGCGGCAGATCCAGTTTTAACGCAGTCGTATGTGGTTCCTGGACATTGTTACAGTGTGTTTGTGATGTAGGCAGAAACGCCTCCGTTGTGATTCTGGCAATTCGCTTGGAAGTAATACCATTTGCCAGAATTTACACTAGATCTGCCTTTTCCTGATGCATTTCTCCTCCTGCTCATGAGACATTTTTCATATCAGACCCATTCCTTTTTTTTAATGAACTTTATTGAGAGCCTACTCTGTTTTGGCCACATATGCATTCCCTAGGTTCCAGGATTTATATAATTATATGTCATAACCAAATTGACAGTGTTCTTGATTGGTGGTTCACTAGTAATGCTTTTTGTGATGTCTTACCACTGTCTCCAGTATCCATACACATTGAAGCTAATTTGTGACTTGTAAATACCTGATTCTGTTCAGGTAGTTTTAGGTTTTGATGACTTTACAGAAGTTTTGACAAACATATTGTTTTGGCCACTTTCGCTAGTTACTTTGTAATTAAAAATTTTTTTATTTAGTTCTGATTAGGGAGGTTGTGGCATTAGTGATACTGCAGTTTCTGATAACTCCTGCAAACTGCAAAAAAGGAAGAGCTTTATCAAAGACATTCTTTTTATCTTTGTTTTCATTACTTCCCAACGCACAGCCTCGAAATTATTACCATTTGACAAGCACCAGACAAGAATCATCTTCAGTTAGGCAGATAGGTTTCATGGCCCACCCTCAGGGGACCTGAACTCCATTATTCCTGAGTACCATGTTGTTGTTGTTTTTACAGTCTTCTTCATTAATGTACATTAAAAATAACAAAACTTGAAAGTGTAGGCTTATTTGCTTGTTTCTTTTAATATTTTCTGTACTTTTATATTTAGAAACATCGTTTTATTGCTGTATCACATTTCCCCACAAAGACCCCCCTCCCTTGTACATTTTAACTGATTTATAATACTGAACATTGATCAGTTCATGGCAACAGCAGCATTGTATTTCCAACTTTTACTTCTGCATTTTACTAAAGGCCTGGGTTTTCAATTTCTTTTGTTTGTCCTTAGCTCTGCCTTCCACTCCCCTGAATGAATAATTCAAATCTTTAGGGTCCTCAAGCCTGTCACTCAACCCTGCCTCCTTCATCCCTAAAAGATGACCTTCTCTCCTACTTAACTGAGAAATAGAGTCCCGCAGCCTCGGACTCGTGCCTGCCCACTAAATCTTCCTGTTTTCAGATCCTTCCCTCCATTCACAGAACAAAGGATTTCTAACTCCTCCTCACGAAGAAAATAAGCACCATCTAAATTTCAACCATCTGAATGTAATTGGCTGTATTTCTTTCCAAGGCAGATTTTTTTGATGCTGTGGGCTTGGCTCATAAAAATGAAAGGAATAGTAAGGAAAAGTGGGAGTTATAAACAGTGAAACTCAAAATGCAGAGACAACAACTTTCGTAACGGTATTTATTCTCCCAATATGGGAATCACGGAGTTTTAAATCTGTTCCCCACTGGAAGCACTTGATGTGAAAACATTTCACATTATCTCCCTTTTTCCATGCTTTAGTTTCACAGTTTTAAAAGAGATGGCAAAGCTCTTGTTTCTTTGCATGGATTTTTTCTGGTTAGTAGAACATTATAAGGTGCTTAAGTCAGTTTATCTATTTTAAGAGATTTATTGATCATCTACAGTGTAAATAGCTATGATGCACATACAAAAAGAATAAATCACAGGGGCATGTGTTATTCGTCTTTTATGTTCTTATTAATCTGCCACACAGAGGCTCTCAGATGTTTCTCGTCTTGAACATAGTATTTGCCCTTAAGATGTTGATAGTATTACAAAGAACTTTGGGGCACAGATACGAAAATGAAACTTTATGGTACAGTGTCGGGGAAGAGAAGATGATCAGTAATATCAGATTCAAATTGGATTAAGAACTGGAAAAGGCTATTGGTTTTGTTGATTACAATATTGCTAGTGACTTTCGAAGTTGTGGCTTCAGTGTCATAGCAATATAAAGACACAGTTTCTGCCTAGTTGGGGACACATGTAACATTTAGAAAAAACAGGACCACCAAGACATAAAGAGGACTTATCTAAGCAGTGCATTTTTGTTGCCAGAAGCTTCTTTACTAAGGCAAAGAAATAATACGGGAGTGGGTGAAGTAGAATGTCACTTCCCTCTCCAAGTACCTTGTCACAATAGTCTTCCTCCTCAGTTCTGGGTGGGAGACTATGGTTCTTTTTAGATTGCCTCTGTGGGGTTTGGAACCTGAGAGGTGTAGTTCTCCCTCCTCCTGGGTGCAGACACTGTATCAATGACTTTGTATCTGACAGAGTGTCATTGCTTTCTAGCAACTGCTTCTTCTGAGCTAGTGTTAAGGTGATTGCACACTGTATATCAAAGGATTAATTGTATGGTATTAAATAGAGCAGTAGGACACAGAGAAGCCAAAGCCAACTATTACATGCACCAGCCCTGAAGTGTTAGCCTTTGGCATTTAGATTTGAAAGAAACCTTCCTGGCTTAATATGGTTTAAGGCATATGAAATTTCAGTATAAGCTCCAGTTTAAGCTGATAGTTGTAAATTGTTTTCTTTATTGGTTATTGAAAAATCTGAAGTCAGATGATTTAGAACAGCAGTTTCTTATGTGGTATAAGTTCAAATGTTTATTGTACAATTGAATGAGCTTAAAAGTCTGCTGCAAGGTTGTCCTCCTTCATGGTAATGCTGTACCAACAAGAAGACATTTTGAGAAGTTGTCATAATTTTAGGTCTTGGAAAGATTTCATTTATGGGTGATTTTTCATGAGTGTCTCAACCGTAAACAGTCTAAAAACTAGGTAGCTAGAAAGGAAGCAAAGACAGGCTTCCTCAAGCGCTGTATTCCTTTCCAGCCCTCATCGTGGACTCCTTTAAATAAGTGTACCTTGTTTATATTTCAAAGTTAAGTATCTTTCCTCAAACATGTTTTCTGCCTCAGTGCCTTTGCATATACTGTTCCTGCTCCCCCAAATTCTTTTCTCTAAGGTCACTTTTTAAAAACTTAATTGAGAAAAATCTCAAATATGCAAAAATAATGAAATGGTATAAAAATCTCTTATTTACTCATTACACAGCTTCACTAGTAGCAACCATTTTGCCAATTCCACTTAGTTTTTTTTCCACAATTGTTTTCTTGGTGAAGTTCCTTGCTTCCCAGCCAGAGGGATCTGGTTTCCTCCCTGTGTACCTTGAAAAGTTACTGTGCATACCTTTTGTATGTACTTATTCAATAACACTAATTACACATTAGTGTGATTATCTTTTTAAACGTTTTCTTCCCCACAATAAGATACACCTTCCTGTATGAAATGTGTATAGTAGTAACTTATTAGAGCATTTGAAGTATTCAATTAAATACTTGAATTAAATGAATTCTCCAAAAATAGTAGGAATAACTCATTTGTAACTGTACATAATGGTAAACAACTATAGATACATATATAGTGCACATTTAGCAAAATTTTAAAGATAGTCAATTTTGGCCTTTATCTGATGAGAGTCTTTGTCTCCTGAGGACTTTTATCAGTATGTTCTAAAACATTGCTCTAATTATATAGTCTTAGGAGATACTGAGTTGTGGGAAAATATGCTGTGGGAAAACTAAAGAGTAATGATTTAAAAAAAAAAAAAAAGCAACCAGAAACAGAAACAAAGACGGATCCTCAGTGGATCTTCTGGGAGGGGTGTGGTAATGAAATGAGAAAGCAAAGAGAAATTACTCTCCCAAGACTAAGTGCTTTCAAAGATTTGATACTGTTCCTTTGAAACAAGTGAAATTGAACAGATACGCTTTTTTTGTTGTTTTTTTAGCTTATATAAGGTATGCAAAAGGCTTACAAAAATAACAAACCATGCTATTTAATCCACTAAATATAGTACCTTTCCTACACTGGTGTGTCCATTCCCTATGCTGTTAATTTATATGAGTATTTGCTGCATTCTCTACCTTTCCATATTACTGGGTTTAGAAGTGATCATTATTTTAAGTATATTCTTATAATTTTCTTTCCTGAATGCAGCAAAAGGGAAAAATGGATCAGGAATAAGTGTTCTGGAGTTGTGTGTACCTAGTTGCTGTCTTTAGAGAAATTTTACATTGTAAGACCAAAAAGTTAATTTTATGTATGTTTTGAAAAATGCTATGTGGAACTTAGAAATACCAACTGTAATCAAAAGTAAATAGGATAGGTGCTCAGTGATGAATCTTTTAAGATCTCAAGGATAGATTTTCCAGATTAGTACTTTAAAATGTAAGTTGGGGTTCTAATGAAATACAATTAATTCAATGAAGATTTGAAAAATTGAGCTTTTAATGAAGTAGCACTGAACTTATTTTACCATTTCTTGGTCATTTTGATTAGACCTATGATTTCTTTAATATTCAGGGGTATGACTCCCAAAATGAAATTTGGAGTGTCACTAATACTAGAAGATGTAATAGTGGGTGAGTCTGTGACTTACCCATGGAAGAGAAGAAAAGAGATTTTTATAAATTCTACGTGTGATAAAAATAAGGGAAAATTAAACTCCTAAACTTTCATTTAGTAATTGAGTTTGCATGTTTTTTTTGTTTTGACATGAGTGTTTTCTGTACAGTGCAGAGCTTTTAAACTGTGACTGTATCATGCTTAGCAGAGAAGAGTTTGCTGAATTGATTTCAAACTGATTTCCATACACAGTATTTTAGTAGATATATCTGATTGTTCAATAATTCACCTAATCATATTAACTCATAAGCCACATACACTGTCCAAAATCCATTGCAGTAAAGATGGGCCATTAAAAAAAATCAGCCTTCAACTGTGGAGCCACCTTGCAAATATGATTATCTCTTGTAAGACCTTTCAAGCGTTGAAGGATAAAAGACCTTGCCTTTGAGCAGTGCAGGGAAGAAGGCATGTTACTGAACATGTTTATTTAGAGAGTAAAGTATAAACATTTTATAGCCTTAGAGAATGGTTTCTTTTGGAAAGCTCTCAAAACAAGAATTACTTAGGAATGGTTATAAGTAATTATGTAGTGCTAAGAAGCAGGATGTCTTAAAAAGAACCAGATTTGTATGCTAGCTCTGTCCTCTAACAGCTCAGTGAGTGAACTTAACACATGCTATTTCACTTTGCTGAATTTTAGTTTCCTCATGTGCAAATGGGCTTAAGTAATATTTAATTTCACAAGGTTATTGGGAGGAATAAGTGAAGTATATATGTAAATATACTTGATTTATAATAGATCCTCAGAAATATCAGACGATTCTGAATTAGATATCGTGACATTGTTTATCTTATTGAAAGATAAAACTTGGGCTGCTTGTCTAAGAGAATGTGAAATGCCTCCAACTGGTAAATTGTTTTTAATCATTCAGGGTGGACCAGAGAGAGCTGTATAATAGAGATTGTTTAAAATAGTGTTGATAAACCTTAGATATCCCTTGAAAAAATCCTATATTCAGATTTTCGCAAAGAGGAGGAAGACATTCTGTGAACTTTAGATGGGGGAGCCTCCATCCTAGGCAAGATTTCTGTATCACATCATTAGCAGGGTGGTTGTGAACACTTAAAGGAAATGGTGCCTCCTGGGTTAACTGCGGGATTCACTAACTAGAGGCATAAATAATTTCCTTTTTGACTGGATTACACCCTGGTAGACTAGGAAAATTCAGATAGCATGATGGGGTTTCAGCAAGGTGTTTGGCAAAATCTCAAGATGTTCTTCTGGACCAGAGAAAGACTTTTGTTCAAAGGTTGTTGACTAATGGGAGGAGAACAGCCTCTGGCAGCTTTGTCCTCAGCGCTGTTCTCTTGCTGGTGACTTAGATGGAGACTCTGATTACATGCTCATCATGTTTTCAAATGCAGGAAGCTGAGAGAGAGTCAGTCTGAATGGTGTCAGAATCTAGATGGAGAATTTTTTTTTTAATTGAAGTTTAGTCAGTTTGCAATGTGTCAATTTCTGGTGTACAGCATATTTCAGTCATACGTATACATACATATATTCTTTTCTATATTCTTTTTCATTATAGGTTACTATAAGATATTGAATATAGTTCCCCATGCTATACAGAAGAAACTTGTTTACCTATTTTATATATAATTGTTAGTATCTGCAAATCTAGAACTCCCAATTTATCCCTTTCCACACCCTCCCTTCCCCTGTAACTGTAAGATTGTTTACTATGTCTGTGAGTCTGTTTCTGTTTCTTAGAAAAGTTCATTAGAGTCTTCCTTTTACTTTTTTTAGATTCCGTATGTAAGTGATACCATATGGTATTTTTCTTTCTGGCTTTACTTCACTTAGAATGATGATCTCTAGGTCCATCCATGTTGCTGCAAATGGCATTATTTTGTTCTTTTTAATGGCTGAGTAGTATTCCATTGTATAAATATACCACAGGCTTCTTAACCCAGTCATCTGTTGATGGACATTTAAGTTCTTTCCATGTCTTGGCTATTGTATATAGTGCTGCTGTGAACATTGGGGTGCATGTATCTTTTCAAATTAGAATTCTCTCCTGATATATGCCCAGGAGTGGGATTGCTGGATCTTATGGTAAGTATTTTTAGTTTTTTGAGGAATCTCCTAGATGGAGAAAATCTTGATAGGCAAGAATGTTAGTAAGATGAAATTTGATTGCAGATATATATAAGGGTTCATGCTTGCACCTCTGAATCCAACTATAGGTACAGGTGGTAGCCTAACAGGATCAAGTATGAAAAAGAATTAAGGGTTTTATGGAGTCACTCATAGGTGACATTCAGAAAACTTAAGCAGCCAGTACAGTTTCAGACTGTATTACTTGAAATTTGTTAAACTAGCATATGGGAACTGAGGTCTGGTGTGTTGTGATTGGACTGATCTTCACTCATTTAAATAGTATGTTGAACAAATTGGAGCATGTGTATAGAGGAGAGCAAAGAGAAACTAGTGAGGTAGCTGGAAACATGTAGTTAGAAAAATGGTTTAAGTACCTGAGTGTTTATTCTAGAAAAGACAGTATTTGGAGGCATGTGTTGGCTGCCCTTAGGTGTTAGGGGAGCACTTATTTGGAAGGGCTAGCAAACTAGCTCAAACGGTAGAATTAAGACCAATAGGTGAAAGTTAAGTGACATGATCAAAATCTTGGAAAGTCTTTTAACCATTTGAAGGTAGCTTTATAGGAAATAGTTCCCCATCACTAGATAGGAGATAGTGTGGAGGGGCTTTCGGCTGATCTGCTGGATCATTACCTACTTTGCCGATGGATATTATGTTTATCTGATAGATAAGTATATTGGACTAACTGTAGCTTCTTTAAACCTGGAAATTCTGATACTGGGTTATGAATAAATATGTGACTCTGACATGAACAATTTGTGATGATCTCTCAACTTAAATTGGTATCCCTTTTTATTCTGTGGTATTAACACAGGATCAAACATCTTTTCTCTGAGACAGTATCAAGTTTATACTTTAATTTTATGAAATATTTATTTTAAACCATTCTTAAAGTGATAGTTGTGTATTACTTTATCTCATAGGTAGTCTCCTTTTTATGTCTTTGTTACTTTAAGTAAAACAATGTTCAGTAGGGGAAGATGTCTAAGGATTATGATTATTCTGAAGACGCTTTCCTGGTTAATAATGTAATTGATAAAATGTTATCTTTCACAGGTGGTCAACCTGTTGATGGCAATTTTGCTGACTGTGGAGGTAACACATCCAAACTCAATGCCAGCTGTCAACATTCAGTATGAAGTCATTGGCAATTACTATTCATCTGAGAGAATGGCTGGTATGTCTTTAGTTGAAACCATCTCCTGCTAATTATGCGCACACTTGTGACTTAGGGGAGGATTGATTAAATTATGTTTGTTATTATACTTGCTGAGGCATAAAATGTTTTCCTAGGTTTTTCGAAGATACTCTGAGAATTATAATTGAGCATTTATAGCCAGAAAATGTAATGAACTGCTAGAAGATTTTTGAGAAATATGTATTGTACATTGGTCATTGATTTCTGTGGGGTACTATGGAGAGAGGAAGGAGAGAAGGAATTACAAAAAGACTAAGCCTTTGGGGGTCAGCTGACTAGTTGAGGATGGGAGATTTGCTTGTGAAGCAAAATTTTACAGTAAAGTATAAAATATGAATTACTTGAATATTTGGTGATATCTTTTGCTCAGGGTACCAATTCTAAATACATTTTTATTATTTAGATGAACACTTGACATTTGGAGTTAAAAATAGAGTACTCCTAGAACATTCATGGGAATTACCTTTTTTAACCTATTTAATTCCCTGAGAGCAGTATTTTCATTATTTATCTTTCTTTAAAATACAAGTTTAATTTTATATAAAAAATTACGTTAGCAATTTAATATTTGAAGAGAAAATTATCCTTCAGACTTTTCAGTGTGAACAATTTCTTACTCAGAAAAATTTCACTTCAGATAAATGTTCCCAGTTCACATGTGTTACATTTGTAATATTACAGGATCTTAATTGTAATATTTTTAGATTATCTTTTATCATAAAGTTCTGCAGTTCATTGCATTTTGATCTCTGATCTATTAATGAAGTGTTTTGTTTTGTTTTTTTAATTTGGTTGTTAATTCAAATGATTCATTGTCCACAGGGCTAACCTATTTCTAGGAGCCAGGTAGAGTTTTGTGGCCATCAGTTACATATATTGTAGTGTGATAGCACTAATAGTTGTTCATACTGTGTTTTTAAAGTGTTTTTTTTTTTAATGAGTCTCCTAGTTTTCTTTTCAAATACAGTATGATCCTTTGATTTTGTCAAGTTGAGAGCAGAAATACCAAGAACATATAGAAACTATTCCTTCTGGTATTTGATTTTTTTTCTGAGTAATCTACTTTTTTAACCAAAATAGAACAATAAATAAAATTTTGCTGAAGCTGCTAATGTCAGCATTTTCCTTTGTCATGTTGGCTTCTCCTCAAGTTGAGGCACAGAAAAAGACTTATGGTCATTGAGATTCTTGGAGGTCTGTACACTGGTTCTTTTGGAGCCGCAGGAAAGAGGTCACAGGTTTATTGCCTGTTGCATGAGTGTTATCGCTGCTGCAGAGGAAATCAGATGTATTCATTATCATGTTTTTGTTGATTAAAATTCTGTCAAAGCCATGTTACTGAGAGACTATAAAAATACATAGTTCCTGGCCGTACGGTAGTTGGTATTTCTTTGGAAACTGAGTTTCCCACAGACCCAGTGTTACAGAGGTAAGTTAATTTCTGGTCATTGGCCTGATTACTGATTTTTTAAAATGAGGTTCATGATTAGTTATTTTCAATCAGCCAAACAGGAAATGACACTTAGTGTATATGAACTGCTTCTGCAGCATATGCAAGCTATTTCTCAAATATGAATGTGTCCTTATTTATATTCACGTTGGAGATAGATGAAGACTTAGGGGCGTCCCAGAGAAGATGCTGAATATGGTGGTGGATGGAAACCTGAGGCTCATATCCGGGCATCTAGCCCCTCATATTCTGTTTGCTTTATTGGTTCACAAGTACTGGAGTGTCTCTGGATCCAGGCATTATATGTATTTCCCACCCACCACCCATCTCACCTCTGTTTTGCTATTTGTTGCTCCAATGGAAGACCTTGAACTTCACTTTAACTATTATTTCAGTACTTTAAGAAATGGAAATACATGCGTAGTCTTCCGGTAGCAGATTCTAGAAAGCTGATTGTTTGAATTATAAATTTTGCTCTCACGTTTGATAGTACCTATCCTGTTCAATATCATATTTTGTTTATATTTGATTTCTTCCCTTTGAGTGCTATTTTGCATGCTGCAGCAGGGAAGTCCTTTAAATCCTTACCATTTAGCTATCCTCTATCCTCTAGGAAAATTTAAAGAGGGCTGTTCTTAGTTTAGTGCCAAACAGTGATGCTGTTTGAATTGCTAGTAACAAGATGATACATGACATTTAGCGAATAGTGTGAACATTAAGCATTTAGTCTACTCATTCGTCATTGTTAGTGCCTGAAAGGTTCTCAATATCCATCCAGAGTCAGTCCATTTTAGATTTGTGCTAAGAAACTCATCAAGTGTGGTTTAGTACTGACTAAGTTACATGGGTGCTTTTTGAGAAAATTAGTGAACATGGATTAATGCAGAGAAAGGGAACAGCCTGAGGAAGAGTTGAGCAAAGAACATAGACTGTGTGTAGCAGAGAAGCCAGGATGAAAGGATGCGGAGCCAGGAATCTGGATGTCGGCATGGAGTGGGGTAGGAGGAGGTATTAATGGAGAGCCTGAAATTTCAGATTATTTGTTTTATCTAAAGCAAGAGGAGACATCTGTAGCATTCTGTGTTTAATATATCTGCCTTTTGAGCAAATACCAGCCTTTCCCTCCGGCTGAGCCCTTATGTCACAAAACCCAACTTGTGTCGTTTCTTTCATATTTTTTCCCAGATTTTACAGGCAAAACTAGTTGTTTCTGCTTCTGTTGTAGCCCTTGCCACATTGGATTATAATTGTCTATTTGCACATCTTTAGACTCTCAGACTGGGCAGCGATCTTCTCCCTAGCAGAGTATCTGGCTCATGTGCCATCCTAAGTGTCCGTGAGTTGTGGCAATTTAACAAGAAAAACAAAGGCGTGAGTTTCTCAAGCTTTATTAGTTAATGCTGAGACAGATTTTTTTTTTTATTCTCTTGGCCTTAGGTTTTTTTCCATAGCCAATCTTGAAAATACTCAGTTTTTTAAGCTAGCTTTGAAACATTGCCATAAAGAGTTCACTTTTTTGGGTACATGAGTAGCTTATTTACATTTTTGTTTTTGTTTTCTCAGATAATGCCTGTGTTCTTTTTGCTGTCTCTGTTCTTATGTTTATAATCAGCTCAATGCTGGTACATGGAGCAATTTCTGTAAGTATTCTGTGTTTTTAAGTTTCAGTATTCGACCTTTTACTGAGTGATATTTAGTAATTTCATGTATGTGGTTGCTGTTTCTTCTCTTCAGTATCAAGTGGGTTGGCTGATTCCGTTCTTCTGTTACCGGCTTTTTGACTTTGTTCTCAGTTGCCTGGTTGCTATCAGTTCTCTCACTTATTTGCCAAGAATCAAGGAATATCTGGATCAATTAGTAAGTGTGTATGCTAATTAAACTCTTTAAGTAAAATATTTACGTAGAAATTTGGAGTCATCTTAGGTACTATTCTTATTAATCTGTCCTCTCTATTTTTTAAGTGTTTTAAAATTATTATTATTATTACGACTCTTACCGACCATGTTGAAACCAGTAAGATGAAAACAGAATATCTTCTTACCATACCCTTTGGATAATCCAGTATAAAAAGTCCCTAAAGATAGATATCATAGAACTTCAGAAGTAGTTCAGCTTTTGTTTTGAGCATATGAAAAGTATTATAATTCAGCTGCATTTGGCACTCATTGGAGTTTTAGCTTTCTGTCTTTGCAAGCATCTGTAGCAAATATTTGAGTGCTTACCATATCCTTCACTCTATTCTAGGCAAATTGTTGGTGAGTGGTTTAGATATAAACAGAAGTTCCTTCTCTTCAAGGAGCAAATCATGTATTTGGGGAGCTAAGACATGAAGATCTTACCTGTGATAATGAATCAGGACTGTCCCATGACAGTAAATGAGGCGCATGGATTAATTTGGTATTCCTAAGATGTGTTCTAGGTTATCACAAAGTGCAAAATGGAGGTGCCATGGCTGAATATAAGTGTGTGTATGTGTTTAATTAATAAACTAGTTTTTTAGAGCAGTTTTAGGTTCATAGCAAAATTGAACAGAAAGTATAGAGAGTTCCCATATACTCCTTCCCCCACCCTACTAGCCACATCCTAAACCACAGTGGTATGTTTGTTGTAATTGATGAACCTGCATTGACACATCATTATCACCCAAAATCCGTAGTTTACATTCGGGGTCATTTTTGGTATTGTACAGTCTTTAGATTTGGACAGGTGTCAGATGACCTTTACTCATCATTGTAGTATCATACAGAGTTGTTTCCCTGCTCTAAAAATCCTTTCTGCTTCACCTACTCATTCCCCCCTTTTTTATAGCCTGATTTTCCCTATAAAGATGACCTCCTGGCATTGGACTCCAGCTGTCTCCTGTTCATTGTTCTTGTGTTCTTTGCCTTGTTCATCATTTTTAAGGTGAGTTGCTTACTGAATATTTGGGGACCCATTTGGACTGTGACACTGTCCATCTCAGCCTTCTTGTTGGTTATCTCCTTCCAGTTCACAGTGAGTGAGTGTTTATTCTGACATAGTACAAGAGATAGATTTTAGGCAGTGTCCTCCCTCTTCCTTCCAGGCAGTGGTTGGAAATGCCAGGATTCTTCCTAAGTGTAACACCATTATGTTGTTGGATGTGGCTCATGATTTGGACTGAAAATCTGTTAAAATTCCCAAGGTCCAGAAACAGAATTTCTTCTGTAGCACAATGATTGTCACATCTGAATTGAAACCCCAACTCTGGTTTCTCTGTAAAACGGTGATAATAAAACTTGTGACATTTAAGTGAGAGCAAGTAGGGAAAGCACCTGTGTTAGGTCCAGATGGATGTCACTTCCCTTCTCCATAGAGAAAACATAGGGGAGAGCCTATTAAAAGTCACCTTAATTTTAGAGCAGGTCATCTGTTGAGTTTCGAGCATATGTAAATTTTGTTTGTATTCTTTTAGGCTTATCTAATCAACTGTGTTTGGAACTGTTACAAATACATCAACAACAGAAACATGCCAGAGATAGCTGTGTACCCTGCCTTTGAAGCACCTCCACAGGTGAATGACCTTTTAATATATTTAAACTTCACTGACCATTATTGATTATTCCCAGAAGAAGAATCTGGATCTTGACTTTGTCTTTGAAGCCATAACTGTGGTTTTGGGCATGGGTAGCTTAAGTCCACCAGTTTCAGCATCTCCTAGTTGGCATCCTGGGTACGTGGGCTAGAGACACTATGCACTGCTCATCTCATCCTGTTCAGCCGCTAGGTTTGGTTTCTAAGTGGTCTCCAAGAGTTACATTTTTGCGGGGAGATCAGACAGGGAACAGCAGTGTGAGCAATGCCAGGCTCTTGGCTTCTGGAACTTCTAAAGTTAGGGTACCATCGGCTGTAGTATATGTTGCTATCAGAAACATTAACATGATGCAGAGGGGAGACTGAATTTCCTGTGCGGAGACGAGTGCGGTGGGTACCTCTCGGGGCCCTCTAGTTGCTGCTGTGCTGTCTTCCCAGGTTTCCAGCATGTAAATTATACGTGACCCATGTAGGGCCAGCGTGTCACATGGGAGTCACTTAGGTTCAAGTTCCACCCTCCTACGTAGATGTGCCTTTTACCCTAGAGCAAATGATACAAGTACCTGATGCTTGGACTACAGATTGTGATGAAATTCAGGATCCAGCCACTTATTGGGGCCTTCATTTAGCATGGTACAGAGGGGCCCTTATCCGAGATCCTCAGTTCGTAATATGTACTTGACATTGCTGCTTTATCAGTCGCACTGGAGCAAGGGGAGGGCGGTGGCATGTACCACCTGTCAGGATGTCCTGGTGGCATCAGGGTCAGTTCAGAAGCAAAAATTTGTCTGCCCTCACCCCATCCTTCCATCCATGCATCTCTAGTAGTCTTGAATCAGACTTGTCACCTGCATGTAAATAAAGTTACAGGTTTTTAGCTTTACTCTCAGGAACTGTTGACCCTTAGACAACGCGGGTTTGAACTGTGAGTGTCCATTAATAAGCAGATGCTTATAGTACTATGTGATCTACAGTTGGTTGGATCCACAGAGGTGGTACTTCAGATATGGGGGGCTGACTGTAAGTTATATGTGGATTTTTAACTCTGCGGAGGGTCGGCGCCCTGTAACCCCTGCATTGCTCAAGGGTCAGCTGTATTTAGCTAACAGTTTCTTCAGCTCTTCTCCATGAGTTTGTATACCCCTGTTTGAGATGTGAAATCTGAAAGCTGAATTATTTCAGATAGGATCTAAAAGGAGAACTAAGTTCAATATAATTTTTTTCTCTCTTCAGTATGTTTTGCCAACCTACGAAATGGCAGTGAAGATGCCTGAGAAAGAACCACCACCACCCTACATACCTGCCTGAAGAAATTCTGCCTTTGTCAATAAACCCTACACCAGCTTTTTGTCTTGTTTATTTTCAGAATGCTGCAATGCAGGGCTCTTCAGACTTGTTTGATATAAAGTACATTTTCCTTTGTTTAAGCATTTATTTTTAAACACTAACAAGCTTTTTGGACATCTGTTAGAATTCAGAGTTCGTTGTTGTTGTTGAGTATATTACATTTAAATAGTTTTTGAAGACAATCTAGGTTAAGCAAGAGCAAAGTGCCACTGTTTGCCTTTGATTGGGGGGTGGGGAGGGGATACTCTACACATTTTCTTTTTTAACTCTGCACTTTCTTTATATAATAGTTTGCATTTTGGTTATTTGCTGCCCTGGATACTTTCAGGAACAATGAATTAAATATTCAGGGTGAGTGAGCTGAGTATAAGATCTGGAGTTTTCAGCTATGAAAACAGGAAAAATATGTAACATTTTAACTTGACTGTGGAAGAGGATGGTTGCATGTTTCTAATTTGTATGTTTCCATCTTTGTGATAAGAAGCTTTAATAAATCTCTTAAATATTTGTTGGTTTTTTTAATCTATTACCATTTTTTGGTATATGAAACAACATTTTCTATTACAATAAACTCAGACTGCCCGGCTTTTAATTTGAAAATATTTCTTTAATCCAGTAACTGAAATATTATTGAAAGTTATGGCAAAAATGGTACTTGAATCCCTGGATAGAAATTACATTAGCATTGATGGTTTGATAGAAAAATTATATGATTAGTATAGTGAGCCATGTTTTTATGTTGAGATAATTTAGTCAGGGAATGAATGCATCAAGAATAATTCAAGGTAAAATGTATCAGTTGACCTTCAGAGTGTGTTTTACTGAAACCTTTATGGTTTTAGAATATTTTTCAGAATCAGGGATGACTTCTCTGGGGTAGGTCTCACTTTGTATAAAACTGTAATGGAAATCTCAAGATCAGGTTTTCTTGATTGTTGCTGTTGGCTTAAATCTATTGTTCTCTGTTGAAGATCATGCTAAGCAGTATTTAAGATACTAACCCAGCTGGTACTAGCCTTTTGATACTGGTGCAGTTACATCACAGTGTGAACACATCAGGACCCTGACCTGGTGGGGCACCTTTTAGTGCTGGGAGTTTGGCCCACAGTCTACATAGCCAGGCTCGACAGCCCCAACTGGGCATGCTCCTCTCCCTGGGGTGGAAATGATTGACCGTTATGACTGCTAATCACTACTTCATTCAAAGCAGGTTTATCTTCTGGAAAAGAACACAGACCTTAGACTTTAAATAAGAGAACAGTCATAGAATATGTTAAATCCCAATCATTTCCCCCAAGGAAGAAGAGAAATTTATTGTTAAGGGGTCATTTTCTAGTAGTGGGAAATCTTGTCACATAACAGGTAACTATCCTAATAAATATGCCAAAAACTGCCAAAACAGTTTTTTAACAGATTAAAAATGAACAGATAAAAGTCATTTTTCTTCCCTCTGCTAGTTCTAGAGAAAAACTTTCGTAGCTTACTTAGTGTATTTGATTCTAAAATGAAGGTAGAGAGCATTGAAAGATAACTGTTGAAATATTTAGCCCTGTTTTTAAAAATATGTAGCAACTTCACCTTAAGTGAGTAGCTCATACATTTCACCATTCTGACTCCTAAATTTGACACTCTTTGTATTCCCACAAAAATGTCTCAGGAGATATCGATGCCCTCCTAAACCACGAAGTTCTGTTACTGTTTCTAACTTCAGTTCTGGTTTTTATCATTCATTGTTAACTACTCAACCTTCAAAGTCACTTTTCTCTTGGCCTTCAAAATATTTTATTGAGGTTTGCCTATCGTTTTAATCTAATCAGTTTCCTTCTCTTGCTGTTTTCATCCACATTTACATTTGTCCATGCCACTCTGTTCTGGTTTTGGCCATCTTGCTTCACTTTCTCAGCTTTTACTCACCAATAGGAATGTAGCTGCAAAAACTTGCAGAGTTCTGTTTCTGAGTCTTGTCAACGTGAGAGTCCTGTGAGGATCTTGTTTCCAAAATTGAGCTCACCATAATATACGTTCTCTCTGGCATCAGCACATTTGCTGTGTTGGGAAGGGTGCAATCTTTCTGTTGGGCTCCAGTTCTCACTTCTGCCTAATCTTGAGCAAAGTTTAATGCAATTCAACTCGGAAGTTTTCAGCATGTATTTTGTTTCAGGTGCAAGAAATGCAGGGATGGGCAAATTGTAATTTAAAAAATTCCCTGGTCTTATTTTAGTGGGAAGAGACAGAAGATTTTTTTTAACATTTTTTATTGATTTATAATCATTTTACAATGTTGTGTCAAATTCCAGTGTTCAGCACAATTTTTCAGTCATACGTGGACATATACACGCTCGTCACATTTTTTTCTCTGTTAGTTACCATAACGTTTTGTGTAAATTTCCCTGCGCTATACAGTA